ACTTGGCGCTGCCTCGGGTTGTTTTGATGTTGAAACACTAGACCCTGCAGAGTCTTCTCTGGAACATTTCATTTTCACCTTATAAGTTTAATGAATAATAAAATAAGTCAAAATTACTGAAGTAGCGTGTAAATATCATATTTACCAAGAAAAAGGCAATGTTCTGTGTAAAAAATACGTACGTTATTTTTTGCTTCTTTGCAAGTGGCAAATTCCTATAGGTTCCATCGGTTACATCAGATACAAGGTGTAACATATGCTTTGAGGTCGTAGGAACATCACTTGCAGAATTTTCCAAAGTACTTAGTGCTGCCTCGGGCTGTTTTGTTGAAGCATCTCTAAAACATTCCATATTTAACTAATAAGTTTAATTAATGAGACAATTAGTCAAATTTACTAAAGTAGCTAAAACGACATTTAATATGAATACTATAAAAGTATATAGGTACTATACTATAGCAAAATTAATATATTTTTTTAATAATTGTGACTTTCTTACCCCCTGTCCTTATATGTTGATTGCAGTTTATGCACTAATCCTACCAACCCTCCAAAATGCTTTAAGACTTCTTTAGTGTTATTTAATTTTTTTTTCTTGGCGGGTACAAATGCGTCGACAGGTAAAGAATCGTCAATATTTTTTTTTTTTCTTATCACTCTGCCAGATACTTTACTTATTGTCTTCTTTTCTTCCTTCATATCGCTAGAAACTTCTGAGTAATAGTAAGACAAAAAAATGTAGGATAAATTATTTATTATAATTATAATTATATATATAATATATATATATATATATATATATATATATATACATGCATCTTGTATAAAGTGGCACCCACTTAATCAACGTAAATGTGACCCCCTCGTATAAAAAACCAATTTTAAAACTTGACATTGTGGCACCACCAAAAATCATGATCAAGTGGCACCCTTCACGTATAAACTGGTTATAATTATATTCAAACAGGCACCCTCCACTGTTGCCATACTTACGGGTGCCATATTGAAGATATACAATTTAATATAATTTTATTTAGTAATATTCATATCTGAAAAATGTTGATTACCTAAAACAAATATGGTGAAATACTCTATTTTATATTATTCTGCATCATAATTCGAAAATTATAATAATATTAGCTTTATTGAGATAAAATGGAGTGCGTAAAATAAGTTTTATAATGCAACTCCATTGAAAATTCGATTTTAGGCGCGCAAATGGAAGAAATTAAGGTTAGAAGATGTCAGGAATAATTACCATTAATATTTTTGTATTTGTCTTTTAAGAATTTAAAAATCTCTCACTACAACGCGGTACTGCGGGAGCGGCGGTTCGAACAAAATTTTTGTTTATTAATTATAAATTCACATTAATGTGAGAGCGAAAAATTTGACTTTTTTTATTTAATAAGTACCTACCAAAATATGTTTACCAAAGGTAGTAAAATTTAGATTCATGCACCACAGTGCCTGTCATTTATAAGTGCTTGAGAATTTTTATTACTTTTTTACATGTAAAAAAAATTAAATCAAAAATATACTTACATTCATTATTTTAATTTTTTATTAAATTAATTTCAAGAATATTTTTTATTTATTTTTTGTACATGTACTTATAGTTTTTTAATGTTCCAAAATAAATCCTTGTAAGCAGCAAGTTATGTTGTACAATATTTCCTTTTTTGTACCAATGATCATAGAAAAATTAATATTTTAATTATTTTATTTGGGGCCCAACAAAATTATCTCATTATTATTATTAAAATAAAGATAAAAATAACTACTCAAAAGAAGTTGGGTAAGTTGGGTAAAGGTACAACATACAAAAAGTGTCTGCATGTTCTAGCAATAAGTTTGTCATATTGTCCATAAAGAATAAACCAGTTCATCAAAACTTTATTTGAATAGTGATTTTTCTTCATTTTAACTATTTTATTAACAATTTTTATTAAATTAATGAATTTCTAACTATATTAGTAAATAATAATATACCTTTTAATGAAGGTACCGGGCGTTCAATTAAACCGTTTATACACATACTTATCGACATATTTACTTTAGACCGAAAAAAAATATATTAATTTATTATTTTCTTGTCATATGAAAACATACAGTTATTAAAACTTATTCGTAGATTTCACTTGTATTGTTTAATAATTTAAAATTAATATTTAAAAATTTGAAATAATAAATAATAGGAATTGTAAAATATCTTTGTTATTATTAACTTTAGGGAATGGTTATATCAATGAAAAGGTATTAGGTATAATTTCATATTTAATTATGTAAAAATATACAGGGCGTTCCGTTAAAAATTAAAAACTTATTGCTGTTTTAAGTTATCTACATTTACATTGCTTTTTATCAAGTATCTTTTAAGAAATATTACAATAAATACAACCGACAAACCTAATATTAAAAAAAATATAAGATTTTTTTGTTGAGGGTGAAACTGACCGAATTTTACGAAAAAAATTAATAACTCAATAACTATTAAGTTTTGGTATAGAACATGATATACCTAGTCATTTTATAAGGAATAATATTAAGAAATAAAAAATGTAAAAAAATTGTGATGATTCATTTAAAATAACAAAGTTGATATCGCTTCCATTAAAACCGGAAGTGGAATTTTGTTCCAAATAATTTAGAAAAATAGTTTTAATGATAATATTATTATAATTGCTTTAAAAAATTTAATTTGATATCTTTTTCCGTTTTCCATAAACATGTAACCTACCATCGACCCTGATACACCCTGTATAATATTTTAATTCCCTTTCTAACTAAAAAATGAAAAAAGCATCAACAGTATTTTTTTATACTAACGTCAGTAGGCCAGTTATGTTTTGCATTTAGGTAATTTAAACTGTTACGAATCATACCAAAAGTTTTGGTAATTTTGGGGCCGAGCGGTGGCCGAATGTTTGGTGCTCATAAGTTTAATTTTTAAAACAAAAAGTAACTTACTTTGATAAAGAAAAAGAACAAAATATTTTTTAATGTTTTTTAGATGCAGGTTTAAAAAATGTTTACGATTTTTCCTCATCGGAAGAATCTGATCCTTACAAAACAGATGGAAGCGAAGATGAATACATACCATCTAGCGAAAATAGTAGTGAATATGTATGTAATTTTATTTTAAATCTGCTGCCTTAATTTTATATTCCTAAACAAGTGCAGAAGGAGTTTTTTTACGAATGTGAAGACAAGCCATAGGCGAGTTTTGCAATAACATAACTAAAAAAACCCCTCTGCCCAATTTAAAGAAAAATATAGACTTTTTCCATTGAGAAAATCGACGATGAAGCCATGGAGAAAATATCATAATAGGTTCAGCTATGGAAACTTGCTGAGAAATACTGTCCTAAAATAATTTTTATCATTTGTAATTTTATTATATAATGGTAATTTGTAAATTTTAACACAATGTAAAAGCCTTCTGCTAAATTTTTTAACTTCTTCGCTTTATTTTAAAATATATATACAGTGTGTCCCACTTAAGACCTTACCACCTTCGTAAAATTTGTATTTTTTAACCGATTTTTGTAAACTTTTTTGTTGGATAGATCTCTGCAAAAGGATTTGAACGCATATGTCACTGGTTTTAAAGACTAAACTGTGATCTCTTTTTTAGTACTATAGTATAGGTATACCTACTAGGGATTAGGTATACCTACTAGGGATTTTTTTAGAGCAAAAGTTACAACGAATTTTTATTCGGGACCACTAAAAACCGAAATTTCGACCCAAAACAGACATCACAGTTGGCGATGAGTTTTGTCATCAAAACAAGAGGATGGTAGGTTTTAAGTGGGACACTGTGTATATATTTATAGAAATACTAATAAATGGACTTACGATAAATTTTTACGATTTAAAAATGCTAATTTTTTTTGTGATATGAGAAAAAAGTTTTTCCTAAAACCATGGAAAAAATAACATCTATGTGAAAACAAAATTTCGATTGCGTTAACCGTACACCAAATTCGAATGCATACCACTTTCCTGCAAAGAATAAAACAATTTCTATTTTCCACCATCAAAGATGAAATAGATTGAAGTCCCTAGAAATACAAATAACAAAAAACGTTTAAACATCCGAAAGCAAGTGATTTTGATATAAATTTAAAACGAGAATGCAAATCAGCCTTATCAGAATCATATTCTTAATATTTCTTGTGTAAATTATTATTATATCTAACAAATTCTCCAAAAAAGTAATGATTTGTTATGTTTATTATACTTAATAAACCTAATACATCATCACTTATTTTGAAGACTATATAATTATACGATCTTAGAATAAAGAATGAACCAAAACAATATTTAAAATCAAAATTCCCGCCAGCCGCTTCTCGCTGCCCTCCGGACACGGCCGAATGCTTCCGAGGTTTCCGTTATAATTAGTGTCGTCTGTTACACACGAGGTTTTAAAGTTTCTTCCACTGTTGCCAAATTTAGGGTGCCATAATGTAAAGGCATATTATGGGTGCCAAAAGTTTAACAATTATAATGAGTGTATAAAATATATACATCTGTATAAAAAAGAGCGCCATCTATAATAAACTTCGCAAACTAAACTGTATATCCGGGAGTAATCTTTGTCAAAGTGGCACCCTTCAAATTTTTTGTTATATGGTTTAGAAGGACCCTACCTTCATTGGAAAAATTTTTGAAGGCAAAACAAAGTGGCACCCGAAACCGGGTGCCACATTGTAAAATTGGGAGTCACATTGACAATGTTTATACCATATGGGTGCCTAAATGACACTGTCTATCTATATATATATATATATATATATATATATATATATATATATACATATATATATAATATTAAACAATTAATTTGATTATTTTTCTTGCTCTTTATAATTTAAAACATTTAACTAAAAGAATAGGTTCTTAGTTAAGATTTTTGACATTGGCCCTATTAAAACCAAGCCACAGATATATATATATATATATATATATATATATATATATATATATATTCTTTAATGAGGTGGCATTACGATCGGGGTTATCATAGTTGCACAAATGTACTCGTTTTCTACGATTTCCTCTTCCCTTCCTTCAACATTACTCCATAGTGGCATTCTGTAACACTTTCTTTCAATGTCTCGCAAGGAAACTGCAGTTAATGTGTTTGAAAGTCGTTTACAATGGAAAACGCCCACGATGTTAGAAGTGTAGCCAACCTCGTATAGAGAAGACAACTGTTGAAACTTCGTAACTATCAACATAATATCATTTTCTACGCGGATAATGTTGCGAATCACGCAAATTTCTGAATTTCGCAGAATACAGCAGCTGTCACGCCGAGACGTCGAAAGGATTATACTACCAATTGAAACCTTTTCAAACTGTTCACACATTGCTGGTAAAATGTTGATTGGTAGAGGACCAGCGACACGCTTTTTACTGGTAACGATCTGATTTTCGACATGAAAGGGTTGTTCGCCTTGATCTTTTTCTTTGATGCGTTTATAGTATTGCTGAAGTGCAAGGTATGGCCGGTGTGTAGCCAAGTCTCGAAAATTGGGCATGCTATTTTCATAGCAAAACGCGCTATACGAATCGATTGGACCTAGCCCTCTCACGTCATCTACAATGTGCAACAAACAATGTATATTGTAGGACATGTATTGTTCCTTATACAAGTACAAACAAAGTGTAACGTATGAGCGAAGTGAAGCCTCACAAAATAATAACAGTTCTTCTGGAGGGTTTTCTCGATTCAGTAAACGCATAACAGCATGTAGTAACATCAGGTGACGATAATGATCATTTCCCAAAACGTTTCGAAAAACAGCTGGGCCTGTATAAAGCAGCAACTGTCTCAATTGAGTAGCTTTAAATTTTGAATAGCGAGACATCGGTTCAGGACGTCGATTGAAGTCTGAAGGACAACAATCCCTCATTAATTTCATTCTTGAATCCAAAATGTCAATTTTCCGCCCACTTAAGCGTTGAAAACCAAATTTTCCACCAATTACAGCATCTAACGTTTTTTTTAGAGCCCCTATGTACACTAAATGCATGATTTCTACAGGTGTTTTACTCACAAGATCAAGAAAAGGTGACAATGGGCTTTCACCTTTGTGGTGATCTTTATCTACCATGGCACGGTATTCGTCATCAGTTCGTGGATCGTTATCAATAGAAAGAAAAACTTCCGTTCCGCGAAAATCCTGTACAGTACAACGGTGACCTACAACCTTACATTTATGACAGCCATGTGCTGAATTATGGCTGTAGTGATTCAAAGCGAATGCTCGAGCTGGAGCATCTGCAATAAAACACTTTATTTGCAAAGGGAGAACTCTATCTTGAAGTATTAATCCACCTTGATTAATAACCTTCATAACTTCTGCAACGAATGGATTAAAAAACTGAGAAGGGTTGGAAGGCTTTGACTCGCCGATAAATACGCCAGATATCATAGGTCGCTTATCATCAATATTAAGAATTCTGAACTGGATAGGCCAAAACTGTAGACTGCCTGTTTTGTACAACTGACCACCGTCAGTACTGAAGTCAATAGTAACATTTTCTGGCAACTGATCTGCAGGGATAGAAACCAACTTTTTGAGAATAATATCTTCAAAACCTAAATGTAAAAATTCTCCTCCAGCTGTATGACTTATTAAGTTGGTAACAACTAGGTTAGGAGTTTTTAGCATACTTCGAGGATCCATCGGCAAAAACTGCATATTAAAGGGTGGAGCGCGTAGTGCGTCCAAAATGCATTTTACTTGTGTGTGATTTAACCGGGCTTTTAAAAAAGCCATATGCAGTGCCCTTCTTCGAATATCACCTCTTTCAATTTCTACATCTTCCCCCCCTTCTCCTCCTCTTTCTCCTACGTCATTTACAATCGCATTATTATTATTCTCCAATTGCTCATTTTCGACTATTGCCACGATTTCATTATTTTCTTCATTATGAGGCTCATTGTTTTGATTTGTTAGAACGTTATCTCCGTTAAATGGTGCTGTTTCGTGTATGACATCGTCATTAAACGGATTGCTTTCATCAGACGAGGAATGAACATTATGTACCTCTAGTGCTTCTTTTCGAGCACGGATACGAGCGAGTATTCTTCGCCTGTGCCTAGCGGACAGGTCAGCGAATTTTTTGAATTTTGCAGACATAAGTTGGGCGAAACTGTTAGGAAAGAATTAAAAAATAAACTCTTAATAAAGGAATTGTGTAAGTGCACATGTATTTTTGATAAATATATTGTTACCTGAGCACAAAATTATTAATCGAAAAGTAGATTTTTATTTTAAAAACAACTTCTCAATATTAAGAATTCTTAATTAATTTTAAAAATTGAAGTTTACCAAGAAATAAAAAAATAATGTAAAGTATGCGTTTTAAGTGAATTGTATATATAGATATATATATATATGTATATATACAGGGTGGCCGATTTATCTGAAGACATTGAAATATTTCGAAAACTATGCATCGGATCAAAAAAAGTTTTGAATAAAATTTGTTCGCCTGGAAGGGGGACATCCAATGATACCAAAGTCGACCCCTCACCACCACCCCATGGGGTGGGGGTGGGGGCAACTTTAATATTCTAAATAGGAACCCCCATTTTTTATTGCAGATTCGGATTTACTATTAAAAAATAAGTAACTTTTATGGAAAAACTTTTTTTTAAATTCCTGATAGATGGCGCTGTAATCGCGATTTTTGGGAATATCTTGAAAAATTGCAGATTCGGATTTCCCATTAAAAAATATAATTAGTGTATACGAGAATTGTAAGGGAATTCAAAATAAATTAAATTAATTAATTCCTTTTGATGTTCCCATGTTCCCATGGCCATGGGGTGGGGGTGGGGGCAACTTTAATATTCTAAATAGGAACCCCCATTTTTTATTGCAGATTCGGATTTACTATTAAAAAATAAGTAACTTTTATGGAAAAACTTTTTTTAAATTCCTGATAGATGGCGCTGTAATCGCAATTTTTGGGAATATCTTGAAAAATTGCAGATTCGGATTTCCCATTCTTGGGTAATTTTAAAAATAGATGTTAACTTATTGATATACGAATAAAATCCAAAAATTAAACAAGTTTTTCTTTTTTTCGATCCGATGTGTAATTTTTTAAGATATTCCCAAAAATCGGGTTTCTTGCGATTACAGCGCCATCTATCAGGAATTTAAAAAAAGTTTTTCCATAAAAGTTACTTATTTTTTAATAGTAAATCCGAATCTGCAATAAAAAATGGGGGTTCCTATTTAGAATATTAAAGTTGCCCCCACCCCCACCCCATGGGGTGGTGGTGAGGGTCGACTTTGGTATCATTGGATGTCCCCCTTCCAGGCGAACAAATTTTATTCAAAACTTTTTTTGATCCGATGCGTAGTTTTCGAAATATTTCAATGTCTTCAGATAAATCGGCCACCCTGTATATACTGCGCGTCAAAATTAACGCGTAAAAAAATCCAACTCTAAAATGCCTTTACCAATCTATGTAAAATTTTGGTTAAAAATACTTTAACTTATATCTCAGTTTATGTGTTTTTTCGAGACTATTTCCCTCGTCTTAATTTCCACCAATCACAAACGCGCAATTTTGAATTACAAATGGTTTTTAGGTGAAAAAACTGTGTGACAGCACCTGTCAGCAGTTTTTTCGAGTTTACCCGCGGCAAAACTTGACAGCTGTTGTCACCAAAAATTGCAATTTATATTTTAATTGTTAACTGTTACTCATGAAATAGTCTTGTCAAATACCATTCGGGCATCTATTTTTTCCTGTGAAAAAAATCGAAAAAACACAATGCTAAGTAATATTTTTTAACAAAAAGCATTCGTGCTCTTCGACTCGGATTTTTGTTGCCACCAGCACTCATGCTTTTTGTTAAAATATTACTTAGCAACGTGTTTTTTCTATTTTTTTCGGAAAAATTAAATGCCCTTATGATATTACTTACGAAAATATCCTTAAAGTCTTTTTATTTAATAATAAAAAACGCTCGAAAAAAAATTTGATAGGAAATTTTTTTTAAAGTAAATAAAAATATGATGTGAAAAACCGTATTTTTGTTAGTATACTCAGAAAATTTTGTACAAATCAAACAAAATACAGCACTTCAAAGTCGTCAAAAATGACCACTTTTCAGCAAAATAATCAAAAAGGGGTAATTTTTATTGACTTTAAAGCGATGTATCTTCGTTACTGTTCGTTTGATTTGTACAAAATTTTTAGGATATGCTAACAAAAATACAGTCTTTGACAGTATATTTTTTATTTAGTTAAAAAAATTCCCTAAAAGTTATTTTTCGAACGTTTTTTTTATTATTAAATGAAAGGGCTTTAAAAATATTTTCTCGAAAACCCCTTGAACACGTAAACTGAGATATAAGTTAAAGTATTTTTATACAAAATTTCATAAGGATTGGTAAAGGCGTTTTAGACTTAGATTTTTTTTACTTATTATGCGTTAATTTTGACGCGCTTGGAGCCAAAGGGGCTAATTCAAAAATCCTATAATTAAGAAAGTTAAGTTCATAGCGACATTGCCTGTTAGAAGATTTATAGATTTATCTATAGATATATTAGTTATAACCTATAGGTTCTCCAAACCCACTATAGTTAAATTACACTGTTTTTTGTAGCAAATTAAATAGAGCAAGACAAATAATTAAATTGAAAGCAAAATAATGACCATTTTAGCTCCAAGCCACATATATATAATATATTATAGAAAATTTTATTTGCAACTTATTCAGATAACGCCTGGCGCTTTGACACCCCTATTACTACGCCATTGAATTGTTGGAATGTACTGAAAATTTGACAAATTAATCAATTTAAGTAATGTTCCGTACAAAAAATTAATTCAGTTGGTTTACTCTGTTAAAAGATATGATTAAAAGAGTGTATCTTGCTAAGAAAGCATTTTCCGTTTTATTTTGACTTTAGGGGCCGTCCATAAATGATGTCACACACTTAGAGGGGAGGGGGGGTCGTCGAAAATGTTACAGTTTGTGACAGCCGGGGTGGGGTTTGGGAGGTTGTGATGTCACAAAATTATAAAAATATTTTGGAATTTAATAATTAATAATGGTTATAAACTGGATATTAAAATTTTATTTTAAGCAAAAATTTCGTGGGGTAGACCTTACATAAAAATTAAATCAGTGTGACGTGACGCCAATGGGGAGGGGGTCCCATAATTTGTGACACTTTGTGACAAGTGGGGTGGGGGGGTCAAAAAATTTAAAAAAACGTGTGACATCATTTATAGACGGCCCCTTATCTACACGCCGTTTAGTTTAAATTAAACGGCCATAATTATGGCACTTAATTTAGAATCACCTTGTATACATATTTTATTAAAGACAGTTTTTATTGCAATTTTAATTGTAGTATACTGTTTTTAAACAATAATTGTTACAATTATTGCAAAAACAACAAAAACAATGAATAAAAACTTATTTTAAATTTGATCATGCAAAAATATAAAAATGTCAAACTTACCTTTGGAATTCCTGGCTAGCAACTTAAGTTTTTTATAGAACTAAATACCTATGTATTATAAAACTGAACCAAGATACATACACCTTGAAACCACAGAAACTAAACGTTTTACCGGTATACAGCATAGAAAAAGGATCTAGTTGTTTACCAAATATGGTATTCTAAAACCTCGTGGCTCTTAGCTGCGTGCGCACACTAAGGCTGCAGTGTTGCCGGATGGCAGCCGGATGATTATCATGAAAGTTCCCGACCAAAAATTACAAAATGCTAGAAATTAACCACACCAGTAAAAATTTCTAGTACATTTGCTCAATTTGAAAAAGTGAATTAAATTTTGAATAAATTAAGAGGAAAAATAAAAGGATAGAATTAAAGAATTATGTTTAGTTAGTTAGTAGTTATACAATATTATTTACAGAAAATTTCTTTGAAAAGTATTTTGGTCGAAATTTATAAAATACCTGCTTCAATATTTTACTTGCAAGCATGATGAAATACGCGATTTTCGGGTCAAATACCTGCAAGCGGCAACCCTGCATGCTGGTTATTTAGTTCAAATGTGACAGCCATAGGCGCATGCGCACGAGTGCCCGCGTATTTGGTTTTGCAATTATTTATACCTATATAGGTACCTAATTAATATTAAATAAAAATCTTTAATTAATATTCCTTTCATTTTATGTTTTCTTTTTCTTATTTCGAATTCGGTCTTCAAATTTATTTTGATAGGGTAGGTTTACCTTCCCTATCAAAATAAGGTATAGCTAACCTATCAAAATAAATTTGAAGATCTTTAATTAAACGTGCTAGATCTGTATAAAATCTTGGAGATTCACGGCGTGCGTCCGATGTGAATTAAATGTTCATAACAAATGTTATCTGTGAACTTACGGTGAATTCACGATGCATTCAATTTTGAAGATTCATATGGCGTGCGCCCGGTGTGAATTTAATGTGCATTACGAATGTAATTTTGAAACTCACAGTGGATTCACAATGCATTCATTTTTAAAGATTCAGGGCGTGCGCCCGGCATGAATTTTATGTGCATTAAGAATATTATCTGGGAACTCACAGTGAATTCACGATGAATTCATTTTTAAAGATTCACGGCATGCGCCCTATGTGAATTAAATGTGCATTATAAATATTATCTGTGAACTCACGGTGAATTCACGATGTATTCAATTATGAAGATTCACGGCGTGCGCCCTGTAGGAGTTTAATGTGCATTCACGAATGTAATTTGGAAACTCACAGTGGATTCACAATGCATTCATTTTTAAAGATTCAGGGCGTGCGCCCGGCATGAATTTTATGTGCATTAAGAATATTATCTGGGAACTCACAGTGAATTCACGATGAATTCATTTTTAAAGATTCACGGCGTGCGCCCTATGTGAATTAAATGTGCATTACAAATGTTATCTGTGAACTCACGGTGAATTCACGATGCATTCAATTTTGAAGATTCACGGCGTGCGCCCTGTAGGAGTTTAATGTGCATTCACGAATGTAATTTGGAAACTTACAGTGGATTCACAATGCATTCATTTTTAAAGATTCAGGGCGTGCGCCCGGCATGAATTTTATGTGCATTAAGAATATTATCTGGGAACTCACAGTGAATTCACGATGAATTCATTTTTAAAGATTCACGGCGTGCGCCCTATGTGAATTAAATGTGCATTACAAATGTTATCTGTGAACTCACGGTGAATTCACGATGCATTCAATTTTGAAGATTCACGGCGTGCGCCCGGTGTGAGTTTAATGTGCATTCACGAATGTTATCTGGGGTGTAGATAAAGAATGTCCTTACCTACCATCATTGGCGTAACTACAGGGGGGCCTAGGGGGGCCGGGCACCCCCAGACATCGCTGCCCCCCCCCCAGGAAAAGGCTGACTTTTATCTGTTATAATTTTTTGGTATTACCAAATTTGCAATAGAAATATGTATTTATCATTTACATATCTTAGGTTGTATAGAAATTTCATCAGGATCATCAAATTCGAATAATTCAGAACACTGAAAAATAAATATTTACCACCAAATTATGGATAATTTAATATCCAATTTAGATGCAGATTTTCAAATTTACCATTGGCGCAAGCAGCAGATGCATTATTTCAGTTAGATTTTAATAAAAGCCGAGATTCTATTAAAAATTATTCCTCTACTACCGGTGTTAATGTGAGGATGCTTGAAACCGAGATATTGGTGGTAAAATATATGCTTACTCTAAAAAATCTGGAAACTAATTTAGAATCAATAAAAAAGACTTTTGTCCAAACCTCTACAAATTAATTCAAATTGCTATTTCCTACCAATACCAACTTAAGGTTTTAATTTTATATATTATTTACAGTTTTTTTATTCTTAGGTATGTTAAAAATTACCTTGTTATTTTATTAAACATATTAGAACTGTTTGATCAAAAAAACTGGTATTTGTGCTTTTTGGAGACAACATTTGTTTTACTTTTTTAAAAATTCCTATTCACTAAAACAGGCCCACCCTAGGCCCCCCCATCGAAGTCGATGGGATTGATTCTCGTTCTCTATTTTTTTTGATTTGCTGCCAATGTAAGTGGATTATCCGGAACAGCAACAATTTTAATTGTAACCAAATTTCCACCGTGAATATTTTTCCCATGCATTTTTTTCTAGTCCTTGTTAAACACAGATCCACATAATGAGCATTTTACTAGAACTCGGCCCGGTTCTAAAGTCTATTCAAATCCAAGCTGGACCAATAAGAACTCACAATCCGAGTCACACCATCAGAATTGACCAATAAGAACAAGTTCATCATGCGTCTGGGCGTTTTTGTTTTAGTCCAGCTTGGATTTGAATACACTTTAGCTTTCTTTTCCACATTAAAAAAAATTAATTCCTATTTATTGACACTAGTTTAATTTAGCTTAGATAAGCTTTAACTAAATAATAATCTAGAAAAATATGACCCCGAAAATTGGGGTGCGTAAAAAGAGTCAAACGCCGCCAAAACCAAAGACAAAGCCGCGAGGCGGTGCCGACTTTGTACATGCCGCTTGTGTGAAATATATATATAAATAAGTATAATATATATATATATAAATAAGTATAAAATAAAATATATAAAAATAAGGTTGACCAGTACAATTTTCTTGACGGTAACGATTATAGGAGGTTACAATAGATTAAAAATTATAATTTTGTAATATGTAGGTAAAGTTTAAAAATTATATTTCATTTTATTTATTATGATGGGTTGGTTGGTAGGGTAGGTATACCCAACCAACCGACCCAAATACTATAGATTTTGCCAACCGTGTTTGGATTTGGAACCAACTGCCAAGACTTTGGGGGGGGTGACTCCCCCCCCTACACCCCCCTTAGGCCCGGCCCTGGATATAGTTAAAATAATAATACATTTTAATACAAAATTAATAATATATTTGTCTTTATTGTTTATAAATATAAAACATTGAGCAATTAAAAAATAAGTAGTATAATTATTCTGAATTTTATCAAAAATATCTACATAGATTCCATTTTCCTAATAAATAAATTATTGAACAAAAATCTACGAAGTACTAAAAAACTATTAGAACAAGGTTTATTACATGTGAAATTTAATTTAAGCATTTTTTACTTATGGCTATAATTTTACATAGTTTAGAAATAAGTTGCCTAATAGTTGTGTAAAAACGATAAACCTGATTTACGTAGTTTTAAGTACTGGACAACTTAAGCTTACATTTCAAAGATGTCGTGTGTATCTTTGGTTTTCTAATATTGTCAACCTGATCAATTGTATTGTATTTTTATTTTTATTTTTTCAAAATTGGAATACTTCTTACCAGATTTCTATGACTAGGTTATATAATATATTACAAGTACCTTAATTTATCTTATACAGGGTGAATTATTTTTACTGGTGTATAAATATTTGACGGTATAGCATCAAAATCACCCTGTATATTTCTAACAGCTACAATATTTACATGGGACAAGTCTGAGCTATAACTTGATAATATGACACTCTCGCTTTAGCGATTGGTTATGATTTTATTATAAATGTAGATAAAAATGTTTATTTAATTATGGAAGTACTACATTATTTAAATAAAAAAAACATTGAGCAATCACAAGCATTTCTACTAGTAGGCACTCAAAAAATTTTAGAATGTTATTAATTTTCTGTTAATTCTGTGAATTAATAGTAGGTGCCAGATACCTACTCTCTAAAAAATGACTAATTGTCATAGCGGAAAAGCTGCCACTAATAATTCTCGTCAATTCTTATGTAAAATTGTCCGCTGAATCCGAAAATGTCGTCAAAAGTTATAAAAGTAGAACAGTTTTTGAGATATAGTCAATTTTCCAAATAATATGGAATTGACTATATCTCAAAAACTGCCCTACTTTCATACGGTTTGACAAATTGCTGGGTGTGACTACAGTAATGTCTGCTTTTTCACTTTGTCATTTTTAGAGAGTGTACTCAAAGATAATCTTTGAGTATACTCTTTTTAGTTTAAATATAATTTGATAATTTTTCTTATTTAATATATTAATAAAATCACAGGACCACGCGCTTTTGGTAGAAATAATAAAATAAATACAAAAACAAAAAAATAAATCTGTTCCTACTCAGATTTGATGGTCTTTTTTGCGCTTTCTCTTTTGTACGTTTGGTAGTAGAAGTTCGAGAAAAGTCCGAAGAAAATTGTCGAATGGAGGAGCAAAAGGGCTCCGATAAATCTTGGATAGCCGCAGTCGAGCCACAAGAGTTGGGCGGAGTGAATGAACACCAAGGTGAATTGCAACTGGAAAAAAAAGTTTTATTACCATTTTTTATTAAAAACTACAAATTTAAACTGCTTATCTTAATAAGCAAAAAAAGAATATTTTACAGATTTACATAATGTGCCTGTTGGAAGCACATTAAAATAATCATAAAATATTAATTGAGAAACCAAAATGTTCAAATTAAAAAATGCTATTTAAATAGTATCTACCCACTGAAAAAATTAATATTTCTATAATGATATATTTGTTAGGTGTAATGTAAATTCTTGTAGCAACTTTTCTGGATTTTGTTCGGCTTGGAAACTTTCATGTTTCAAATAAAATGAAATAAAAAGTTTTAATTGCAATGATAGCAAATTTTACTTTTGTACTGTTTTTTTTCGATACATTATATACATTGCCAAGGTTGCTAAAAGTCTTAATTAGAAATATTTTTTAAAAATTCCATTTAATGAATAATATTCTAAAGGTGGAATGCCAAATTCCCGTGCTTCCCCCTCAGAAAGTAAAATATGAATCTCGTTTCCTATTGATTGAAATTCTTAAAATTTCTTTGTGGGCAAAAGTTTCTAAAAAAGGGGGGGCCAAAATTAACAAAAATTGTTTTTTATTAAAACTAAAGATGCTAAATAAAAAAGTTGTAGACTTCAAAAATATCTATAAAAAACATAATAAGTTTCGAGCTATAGCTCTAATGTGGTGAATAGTAGGAATATATTTTTTTTCATGTTAAATACAAAAGGTTTATATTTCAAAATTATCAATAAAAATATAAAAACTTTTGCCTTCAAGCAAATATGTTGAAAATTTGTATCACTATATTTTTTGTATTAACCCTTTTTTTGCCCGACCAAGAGAAAACAAGACAAAATAATTCAAAACTATTTTAATTAAGAGGCCCAATGCAAGAACCAAAACAAAACAAATAACAGGATGTAAGTAAAGATTTTTCATAAATTAACGCAATGCATTGGTTTAAATATTTAGAATAGATTTTGTCGAATAAAATAATATTTAATATAAAATTATAAAAATATTAATTTATTAAGAGTGACTTTGTGGGACAGCGTTTTTTACCCAATCTAAAATTAGTATACTATATATATAATTTACCTTTAGATATATTTTTTCAGTTTGTCCTCCTTAGAAAGGTACTTTATATACTAATTTCAAAGAAGGATAGACAACCCCAAAAAAGAGATCTACATGAGTTTTTAATCATAATTATTATCATCTATACATTGAGATTAAAAAAATATTATTTTTTATTATAGAAATATACAAGGTGTACGAAAAATAACATCCTACAATGTGGTATACTATGGGTGCGACATTTTTCGGACATCCTGTATACACCTTAAATCTTATATACAATAATTTAAATTGTTTAATTAAATACATACCAGTTGGAGGGTGGTCAAATACTTTTTCCACCAGAGGTATTTTTGGTATTGTGGTCCCATAGCGGCAACCATGTAATAGAAGTACATGATGACATGAACCAAATTGTTGATTAAGTTTGAGAAAGTACCATGTCCACCTAAAAAATATATAAAATATACCTATTTTATTTAAATAAGGGTTTTTTTGTGTATTTTGGTGGCATATAAATTATTCGTGTCTTCATATTATAATTAAAAATATATTGTACAAATAATGTTAAATCATGCACCAATAACTTTTACGAATCACGTTAGGAAATCTATTACTTTCTTGATTATTTGCAATCTAAAACTAAGCAAGAGTTTTGTAATTTTGCAAGTAAACTTTAAAATCTCAAGTAACAATTTAAATGTATTTTATACGAGGTTCGGTTTAAAAGTTTTTGACATCACATAAAAAGTAGTAGTTTTGTATACAATTTTATTTTTGACCATCAGTTCTTATATAGATTATAAAAGCTTTATTTGAATTTATAATTTAAATAATTTTTTTTTTACTTTCGGAATCCCGAAAACGGAAAATACATTTTTTCTATATTTCTCTGAAAAATTTTTCTTTGACTATATTCTTTTAGACATGCTACTAGGTATGTATGATTGGTTGTATATTATTTTTATTATTTCCTAATATTTTTATTCTTTTTGTTTTAGATTCCGGATTTCAGGCGGCAGCATTTCATAAATACATATTGGAATTTAAATATGTTTTAGTCATTGTTAATATTTTTATAAAATATTATTCTCTTCTTTTTGCGTTAATATAGTTTTATGCAATACAAAAAACAATATTTTAAAATATTTAAATGCATCAATGACCCTCGTAATATGATTATTTTGAGATTCTGGAGGCTAATCATACTTTAAAATAACAATTATGTTTGAAAAATCAGTGGCAAAAAGTAAAGAAAATTAATTCAGATTACAAGTATAATTAACAAAGCTTTTAATGGTCATAACTTTTGAAGTTGAGCTAAATATTCAAAATCCTTGGTTCTGCAAAAATAGTACCATCGACCCATCCCATCCCATCCTTCAGGTAATTTTTGTATTAGCCCAAAAATATATATTTAATTAACGTTAAAACTATGGCATGCATTTAAATAAAAAAATCCCTCCAAAAATAATATAAAAATAAATATGTTTTAGGGTCTCATTTTTCTGGTACTACATTTTATTATATCCAATCACAAGAGCTTTGGATTTGAATAATTAATTTAAACAAGTAAAATTTAAAATATCTATTAACATTTTTATGCAGTTTTTGCTATAAGCATAATTTCCTAACAATAAAATTAAAATTTAATGACCATTGGTTTTTAATATTATTATATATGTTTATTATTTAAAAATGATTGTTTGATAATACTATTAATACTAATAACAATGTTCATATATTTTCTTTCACTTTATTTGTTCATAATTTGACATTCAAATATAATGCAATATAAAAAATGTAGGTCTCACGATGCCAATTAGCTACAGTTAACTTCATTAAATTGTCATAATTTGATACTATAACTATTCCTTTAATTAACTTATAGATACAGTGGCGGTTCTACAAATTTTGACCCACTTCTGTGAAAATGTAACTTTGAACCCCTTCGGGATTTAAATGGTAAAAATGATTAAATATATGTGATAATTATAAGGGATTTTTAAATTTGAAGCTTAAAGACAAGAATTGTGGAAACTAAAAGTAAAAAAAAATGAATAAAAATTAATTTGTTAAGAAGTTCCTTATAATGCTCATTTGACATTGTTTTAGATACAAATCTATATTAAATATATAAATTAAAAAATATAAATTTTATCCAAAAGGGTAAGACTTATATAATACCCCTTAAATATGATGCACATAGTTACAATTAAAAAAAATTTTACATAAATATTTCACTCTACTAATTTATAAGGTGAAAATTTAAAAATTACAGTGGTAATTTACTTCACGTTTATTGTAACCACGTGTATCTTACCGGGTAGAATTCTTCTCTAACTCAGTAAAACCACGTTGAATAAACAACGATTCGATTGTCACTAATTTGCTCAATATGAATACAGTTAGTTTAGTAAAATTTACCTCTAAAATCATCGCCTAATTTTTATACCGCTATTATTCACCGGAAATTCGATTTTCCCATGAAAATTTCTATACTTTCGGAGAAGATTTCGGAGAGATATTATCAATAGACGCACCTCTTTTATGAGTAGGTATATTACTATTAAAAATAGTATTTTGGCGGCTGGTGAATTTTGGGCACACCCATATCTCACTTATTAGACATTGGGCCCACATCAAATTTATATGACTTTATAATGACATTAGGTATATAGACAAGTTATTATTTTTTTTTACTAAATTTAAAAAAAAATAGAAATGGTATATAATATAATCTGTAATACTTGAATTTTATAAATAAAATTTGAAATTTGTCGATAAACTTCAGTGAATTCAATATTGTACCACATTGAATTATCTTAATTTGGGGGGGACAGGAGGCTGGGGGGCAAACTTAAAAACTAACTTTTTTTCGCATACTTTAATTTAAATTCAACTTGCGCAGAACTTGTCTATATAATGTCATTACAAACTCATATAAATATGATGTGGTTTTAAAATACCTTGTTGTTATGACAACCGTTTGTTTGTATGGTAAACCAAAAACTTCAAAACTAATTTTTGCATAAATGCATAAAAAGCCTTAGGTACCAACTTGCAAAAATAAAATTTATTTTGTAATTTTATTACATTTAATTTTAAAATAGCCAATTTGTTTACTGATTTTATAGTTATTTTATATTTTATTACAAAAGGCTCTATAAACATTTATATTGTACCTAACACGAAAACGTGAATTAAAAAAGGTAAAAAATTAAATATAAACGCGACATTGCGAGTTGTTGATAGTTGTTTTATATGGTAAAGCTTTTGGACTATAACAGTGGCAGTGACAGTTCTATATAAGTTATAAATAACTTTTTTTTTATAATTAACTTTAAAAACAAAATAAATCAAACCAAATATCCCTAGATAATCACATGTCCGTAATCCAGTGTTGCCAAAACTTTTAGACGAAAATGACAGCTTATTAATTTTGGTTGGACACGGTCAACAGTAATCTTTAAGTTAACAAAAAAATATATAGGCATAAGTGCATACGAAAAAAAAAATAATTAATTTTTCAATGTCACGTTGTCCCATGCTGACCTGTTATTTTTCTAAAACTTTGTAAATGTATTTTAAGTAGACTACAACCTAGAAGTTTTTAACATTTTCTAAGCGACTAATATCGTGCCCTTAAACAAAATTAACACAGTATAAATATATTTTGTTAATTTTGTTTTAATATTTTTTTTTGTATTTTTACAGGTAATTTTACTCAATATTCTTTATAAATACTGCTTGTGCTTACCAGATTTTTCTTAAAGCTTGTTGTACAGGGTAATCCCCTATAATGTCGCTCCCTTTAACTTTTTTATTTTAAGTACACAAGAAAATTGATCAGTATACAGTGACAAACAAACAGTTTATTTTTTCTTAATGGATCACCCTATATGTGAATTCTAAGCATAATTCATATAACAAACCATATACCTAAATTCAACCGTTCCTAAAATAATCGCATTTGAAACGTTATTATCAAATATTTTTGTAAACTGTTACAAATTAAGAAGCCTGAGAATAACAAAATATTTATTGTCAATATGTTTTAAGTAAGTAAAAATGGCTTACTCAGACAGAGAAACACAAACTATTTTAACTTATATTCTTAAAAATAATTTTAATACTTCATAAACGCTTGAATTAAGGTATATGGTATATTATATGAATTATGCGTGAAATTTTACAAGGAATCGAAAAATAAATTCATATATAGGGTGATCCATTGAGAAATTTAAAATAAAAAAGTTAAAGGGGGCCGACATTATAGGGGATCAACCTGTACAACAATTATAAACCTTGAATTATTGGTAATTTTTAAGCACTCTATTAAACCCGAAGAGACCTTACATATAAAGGTAAATACTCTCTAAAAATAAATTAGTCAAAAATGAGTAATTGTCATAGCGAAAAAACAGCCACTAATAATTCTCGTCAATAGCAGTTTATATCCCAAACATTAAGCAGGCAATTTCCATGTAAAATGTCCTCTAAATCCGAAAATGTCCTCTAAAATTAGAAAAGTAGAACAGTTTTTGAGATATAGTCAAATTTCCATATAATATGGAATTGACTTTATCTCAAAAACTGCTTTACTTTTCAACATTTTCGGATTCAGAGGACATTTTACATAAGAATTGGCTGTTAAATGTTGGGGATACCATGGTATCCCATGGTTTACCAGGGTATAAGTGAAAAAGCAGCCACTAATAACTAGTAACTAGTCATTTTTAAAGAGTACAGAATAGGGTGGGCCGATTTTAATATTTTTCAAATATCAAATTGTGCAATGGTGGAAAAGTTGTGCATTTATAAGGCCAGAAAAATATTATAAGAGTTTTTTAATTTTAATTTCTTAAACTGCCGCAAGGCCTTGAAAGATCTTAATGTAATTTAGTATCGTTATAAATACGAAAAAAATTATCTGAGAGAAAATAGGGTTAAAAAAATTTTGAATGATAAATATTTATTAAAAGACAAAAATAAAAATGAATTTATCATCAACACAAATTTAATTCAATTTATAATCCTGTTTTATCTGCCATTTTTCACAAACACCCAAAAACCACAAACAGATACTACTTGTAAAAATTTCTATTATTCAACTAATTGACGAAGTCAAAATATTATAATTTATACAGGGTGTCCCAAAACTCGCGCCACAGAGAAAAAGGGGGCGTGCCGATAGCAATGGAGATGCCAAATTTAAAAATAAAATATTTCTAGGTAATAGTGTAATCGAATGAGAGCAAAAAAGCGGCAGCCAATACCGAGAGATCTCGCCCAGGTTAAACGTAGGAGCTTTAAAGATTGCTAGGAGACGATAGAACATTGTTGTATTAAAAACATTTAAAAATCTTTTGGCCAACTGTATTTACTAAGTTGTCAAAAGCTTTCAAAAAATGAGGTTATTAATCTATGACTGATACTTCAGAACGC